CAACTAAGCCAACTAGGGCCTAGCGGCCTAGCAGGGCCAATCAGCATCCTAGGATGCCCCTATAGCGCCTCCCGTAACCACCTTCCCAATACGCGCCCCCTCCTCCCGGTTTCCTCCAAACAAGGCCTCAATAAGGCCGGGGGGGAGGGGTGGGGGTTCGGGCGTGTGCGTGCTATGAAGGCAAGCCCCCCCCGCCCCCCACCCTGCCGAACCCACAAGGGCAAGCGCAGGCGCCTTGCATCGCAACGCACCTGGGCTAAGGGAGTTCATGCAACAATTTGGTTTACAATCATCTCGTTTGCTTATCCGCATAAAGGGAATTGTGCCATGCACTCTTACCCAAATGTAAGTGCAGATCTCTGAAATGATCATTGCTCTGCAACACACGACTTGAACAGGAGGCGCCGCCCTCCCCGTTTTTCCGAAATATATATATATATATATATGTCATGCCCAACAGCTGATGCGTTTACAGATTCTTAAGGTTCATGCCCGTGGTTAGAAAAGAGAGAGTTTAAATGTGCAACATAGGATCCGGGTGTCCAAAAACCGGTCCTGTGGCAGCCCCCCGCGCTCGCCAACATCATTGTATGAAATGTCCATCACTTTTGTCTAGCTACCCTGCTCATCGTGGTTTCCATGACAACTTGTCCCTGAGTCTAACAAATGTCTACCTACCCCAAGACAGCCGCCAAATTGGCCGCAGATTCAGCAGGCATGGCTATGATCGCAGGGGGGGATTCAGATGCTCATGATCAGCATGGCTCAAAAAATGATCATGCCGCACGATCTTCCCCAACTTAGACAATTGGTGTACTGGGCGGTCAAATCATGGAGAACAAACATCGGCAAGAGGTGTGCCCGGTAGCCAGCGGTAATTACTCACATCCCACTTCACCACAATGAGGCAGTTGGTGACCTGGATAGTGTCCAACGATCGCTCTCAAACGGAAACCACAAGGAACACCAGTCGATTCTTAGAAAAATCCCCCCCATATGTCCCAACCACTCACAGATCCACGAGAAACGCACTCTTTTAGCACCCTTTTAGAGCCACCCCCTGTGGTTCCCTTGGGCCCAACATCCGACGGTTTCAACAGATTTCAGCCAATCGACCCCTTCGGGACCCGCGCTGCCAGTAGTATCCTGCGGGACACATGGACCCAAACCCACAGCGAAGACGACTCAGAATGATGCTATTCTTTTGGTTGGCTGACCTTTCCAACCCAAACGGTATGGTGGTAACATACGTTTTGTTCCGGCCCCCTAATTACCAAGAATGAACAGAACCATAAAACAAGTATTAAAACAAAAAAGACACTTAAAACCGTGAAGTGACTTCAAAGAAAACGATCCAACTGGAGGTTAGACCGGTGGAAGCAGCTTGCCTCCTACTTTAAAGGGGAGTACCAGTGGATCCATTGACCTGTATAGTAGGTAACCAAGGGAACCATCCGCTATTGAAAACCCATGGATAAAATTGCGGATTACAAACTATACTGGCAACTGGGATCCACTGTGCAAGTGCAGTTGGCGAAACCCGAAGGTAAATCCGGAGGTAAATGCCGGTATGGGATCCCGACATGGGTGGTATGAGCAAGGATATATTTTGACAAGGGTATCCTTGAATCATTTGCATGACACCAGTTTGGAGGTAATTACAGCCCGTCCGATGAAATGTAAGATAAGAACACCAGCAATCCACAATCCGAAAATCACGGTAAAGGGGACCCCTTTGGTAACCGAAGGGGATGATTGAGGATTCGGAGCCCAGCTGAATGTGCAAGCGCTGTTTTGCATGTAAAAAGCAGGTCGTACGTTTGTGCACGTCTTCACATTTGCTTGGATAGCGCATTTGCACAGATGCCCGGTCCTCACAAATGAGAAGAGGCTCCAAATCGTTTTGCCAGTGCATGGCACCTCTGATTGAATCTCCGCAGCGTGCAGAAGGGTACCGATCTGGGTGACCAGGGAAACAACGCCTTTTTGTTACGAGGCTGTTATTACACAACCGTGGCCGTACCGGACCGTGAGAGCAAAAATTGGAGAGAACATTGTGCAGGCGTGGCTCCTCTGTGTGGCATCAGACAGATTCAGACATGCGTGCACCTTTTCCACAACAAAGATATGTTGAATGGATTGTGAACCGACCTTGATACCTCGAAACCAAGTAAGCCATCAATATGTGTGTACGTACGTAGCCTGCAGATGATAGACGCCAATACAGACAGCACAAAAAACACGTGAACACCTTAAATTAGATGTGCCGTTTGCAATCTTCATGGGTTGAGCATGCCTCTTGCAAACAGTACTCTGCCCCGCCTCAGGGTGCCACCATGGAAACATAGGGGACCCTGAGTAACACCTGGAAACAAAGAGCATCAAACATTTGCAAACAGCGGTACTTCACCAACCTGAAATAAGGCACCCCAAGAAAGAGGGCCCCAATGGGCCCCATGTTGCGAGCGGCTGTAGGCACTTTGCCAAGAAAGGGGTTCTGTGTGGCTTCCTAGGTCGATGGGGCCCACAACAGGCCTCTTGAATGGAGGGTTGCAATTTGTCGGCCGGAAGCCAGGGCAGCCCCAGCCCCCCCTCCTGTGGATTCCCTCCAGGAAGGGTATCAGCTCTCTGCTAGGATCACATGTTGCCTCTGCCTCGACAATGGAAACCCAAAAAGGGAACCCGAGTTGTAGGTTAAAAATGTCGATTCGCTTCGGACTGGGATGGAACCAAAAAATCAAAAAGAGGGAGAGAGAGAGAGAGAGAGAGAAAGGAGAAAGGGAGAAAGACAGAAAGAAGAGAAAGGTCGATGTTTGAGGCTTCCCTTTTTGCGGCTGCCTTTCCCGGGAAACCAAAAGGAAGACAGCCCCGCGGTGGCCATGCCCAACCCCCTCACCCAGCGACGAAACTCCACAGGCGATCGGAGCGCGCCATCAGCACAGGTCGGCTGGAGGCTGCTGAGCTCTTCAGCCTGACCCCGCATCTATTCACTCCCCGAGTTCATGGACTTTGGTCGCTTTTACACCCCCCCCAAAAAAAAGGCTTTCTTGGACCATCCACTCAGGAAGTGAGCCTAAGTGGAACCAGGGACGTGCACTGGCAACATCCACTCTGCTACAGTGACAAAATATTTCCACCAACATAAGGAGAATCAGACGTGGTCCAACAAATGTTTTAACTGGCTTTGAAGAGACACATATTTAGTGTGGATATGTGTGGATGATCTGGATTCCCAGTAAAACCCGATCAAAATCAGAGGAAGGGAACTGCCGCCCCCAACATGGAACCTGACACGACCAGCTTCCACCAAAAGGACCCTGCGTGTTGCATTTTGGTAGATGGGACATCTCAAAGGGCCCAATTTCATCCAAGGGGAGGGTGACGCCTTGGAGGGTTGGGCCAAATTGCTTAAAATGGCGTAAACAAAGTTGGGCCCTGGAACCCAGAAAGGGAAAGCAAAAGGAGGCTGTTCGGTGGTACTTCATCAAGTCGGATTTTCAGGGAGCTGGGTTGTGGACAAAACTCATTTCGCACCACTTTGAAACCCTGGGAAAACAGCGCCTGTTGGTCTTTGCAGGGATCATCATTCCAGGGCACCTTAGGTGGTGTCGGATTTTGTCCATCCACAGCATGTTATCAAGTTTGCATATTCATGGAGCTGGACTTTGGAGGTATGGAGGCGAGATTTACCGCTTAGATTAAACGGGGTCCATACTGCATTACGAGCTTGTGTTGGTGGTAAGCATCCATATCTCCGCAAACATTACCTGCAAATGCCCCTGATGTAACATGGGGTTGGCCAACGGAGGCCAAGAGATTCCGACCAGTTGCGCTCCTTTTCTTCGGGGGGTCCATGCTAATCGATACCAGAAGGTCACCCAACCAAGACCTCTCTCAACATGAGAAAGCTCCATGTTGGTCTGAGTTTTAATGGTTTTGTTAGGTGTGGGCTTTGTTTTGTGGGTTCCAAAAACCTCCTGCGGTGTTGTGGTTGTTCAAGGTTCCAGGTGAACCGAAGGAACGAGTTCTGCACACTCCTTGGGCCACTGCATCTGCCAGCGTGTCGGAGTATTGCTGCATCTGCGCAAAGGCCTGGCGGGCGGCTATCCGAGCAAGCTGTCACACGGCTAGAAGAAACTGCGTGCTTTCCCACGTGCAAAACTCGTACCCTTATTACGGATATACCCGAAATTGGCAACAACACGCTTGCAAATAGTTGTTGGGCATGAGGAGTTAAATGTCATTTGCATTCATACTCGCATGCCACGAAAGCCTGATATTTCAGTTAGGGCCTGAATGAGTCTAACCACGCAGCTTCGCTTGTTTGCTTCACTTTTGCCCGTCCATTGGAATGCCTCACGTGTTTTGATCGGGTGCAGCGGCCTTTTCTTGAGGCTGTTGGCTCATTTAACAGGGGACCGAAAGGCACTCACCTCGAGCCTCGAGCCCCGGGCCTTTAAAGGCACTATACCTTCAAGCAAGTGCCACCTGGGCCCTCCAACTACCTACAAAAAACGATAATCCGTTGATTTGTCTTTTGCGGGGGGCAATAACCCATGCTAAAGGGAATTCGGAGTTCGGAGGGTGCAGGTAGTTCCATCTCATGTCCTCTCGAACATCCGGGCGAAGATTCGATCCAAAGCATTTCCTTTCTGAGTGCTGGGCGCTCGCCCTTATGCACAGCAGCTCGCACCTCAAGTAGAGCTGACAGGGTTCTTTATGCTTGACCACAACAACCTCTATTTTCCCGACCTCTCTCTCTCTCTCTCTCCCTCCCTCCCTCCCTCCCTCCCTCCCTCCCCCAATTGACGGGGTTCTCTACATTGCCAACCGTAAACGTCACCCAAACACAATGGAAAAAACTTAGAACCAGCCCAACACGTGATGCCTAGACCACCAAAGGAGAAATACAAGGGACTACGCACGAGACCGTAGAAGCCCCACAAAGTAGCAAGAAGACCTGAGCAAGCTCTAACCAGGCTTAGTAAGCCTCAAGCGATGTCTGGGTCTGTTGTCGGGTAATTACCCATGATTGTGGTGGAACATAGCCGCTTCTGTGATACCACAGTCAAGCCCCACAAGGGTTCCCTCCGTATCACAGAAATTTGGTCCTAAAACCAAATGTCCCACCATGAGCCCATGTTTAGCTGTCGCCCTTGGAAGGGACGACCCCTGTCCGAAAGCCAGCGTTCAGTGCCAAAGCCGCAGACAAGTCCTCGTAGGACTCCAGTACCGCTGATTATTGCGTTTCGAAATGCATGCGCACCCCCGCCCCCCAGATTCAACAGGGAAACGGGACCGGGGCCCTTGTGCCCGTTTCGTCACCGTGACAAGCCCTTGGTCACCTACCTGGGGTGTCCGTTTTCAGGTACCCCGCTAAAAGTGACCAGCTAGTGGTTTAAATACGGAAAACCCAACCACTACCTAAACAGATCCCAAAAACCTACGCTTTGTCTCGGATGGCCGGGGTTCCCACCGTCATCATAGTGGCTTGCAACTGGAATCACCCTGTGATGGTTCAGGCTTGGTTGACGTTGGAAGGGGAGCACTAGGTCTTTAGGGGGGGGGGGTTCCCTCGGACGCGCAGGATCTGCATCCTTGGTATCATCAGGATTATCTTGCTGCCATGAATTTGTATCTTTTTTTGCAGATACAAATGGTGGTTTGCTGTTCCAAGCGATGTCGGAATTGGCCTGGTAGGGGTCTGGGTGGGGCCAAGTGCAGTGATACGTTGAGGAACTGTTTGAATTTGCAATTCCCCACCTGTACAGAGCAGTTACTGCGAAACATCCCCTGCATTATCGTGCTTTTGGAAGTCTAACTAGGGTACTTGAGGGGGGTTGCTTTTGATAGTTGATTTTGGGTAATATATTTAAATAAAAAAAAAAAAAAAACATGTTTTTTGCACTTTTTTGTGGCCAGTCGGCTGCATTCCCAGCATTCCCGACATCTCTGTTGGTCATTTTTGCGTGTCTGACAGTCTTGAAATTTTGGATGCGATTGGGTCTGTTCCTGTACGTTGTGTGGTTGCATCCCTTGCATGTCCAGCATCCCCAGCATCACTTCCATGGGAAAAATGAAAAAGGTCTTAAAATCCCTTGCACCCCACTGGCGTCGGCGGATCGTGTAGCGATTTCAATGTTTCCCAACAACAACCACGAAGGGGGTGCCCTTCGAAACATTCGAAACCACTCCTCGCTTTTGGCTTCCCCGCAGTAAATCCAAAGACTCCTCGGCGACCAGCACATCGCCGTTGGCGCCCTGAGAATCGCCGGGAAGAAATTCGTAGGATCCACCCCATGGGTGTGTCCAAAAACAAGGGATTCCCCCTCCCAAAGAGGTACCCAGTCCTTAGATATTTTTTGGTAGCTCCGAAAGGCTCCCTCTTTCAAAGCAAGCATTTGGATACCCCTAGCCCCTTGGCACGAGCTACCTGGAAAAACGCAGGAGGGGGCCTCAACTTTTGAAATGTCTGGGTAGTGCTGGCAGGTTAGGCAGTTAGGCAGGCAGGTTTGACGCTTAGGATTACAGCAGGGTACTATTCCTTTCATGTCCACAAGTAAATGGGATGACAAGAGCTCAATCGGGAGGCTGTGCCATGTACTTTCACCCAACTGTGCCATGTACTTTCACACAACCATTTCTTAGCTGGGCCGTCCGTCCTCAGATCCTCTGCCAAAAGTCTGACTTCTAGTGGGTCAAATGGAATCCCCTCAGCCAGCCGGAAAAAAAACACACACACACACACACACGCACAAAAAAAACAACAACAACGAGGGAGCCGGATGGCTGGGAACCGCCAATTTTCAGACAGACCAACCGTAGAGGGTGACACTCTCTGCAATGCTTCAGCTTGCCGGGGCCAATTCGCGTCCCGGGGACCGGGCGCGCCAAATTGCCGCGGAACACGCCTCGGGCTTTGGCTCAGCCCGCTGTTCTGAACATCCCAAGGTTTGTTGCCAAAGCAATTGCTATCGGACTTGGCGGGAAAGGTTCCACACGCATCGGAGAAAGAGGAGCTGTTCACTTTCTTGCGCACCCCCTGGGTCAACAGCGTCTTGTAGCCTCACTTGCCCCAGTTCGGACCCCGAAATAAAAGGTGAGCACCTTTTGGGACCTTTACTACGAATGGACCAAACTGCAAGGTCAAAAGGTTGGCTTTGGGCAAGTTAGGAATGAAGCAATGGCCATTCAACGGCCAACATTCGTCACAATACAGAGGTGTTGGACAGCATCTGATGACTCCCCGATTCACATGGGAGTCCCAAAGGACACAAAGAAACCACCTACCTGGGGTCCCCAGGTTTTGGAAACATCCACATTTGGTTGCTTTGGACACCAGGGCGTTAGGGAAAACCAACTCGGGGCCTCCTTTGGACCTGGGGGTTTCCTCTTAATAGGTGTGGATTTATGCCCAATTTCAATAGTCAAAGTGTCGGGCGAACCTCGGTGAAGTGACTCCAAAATCTTCTCTGCAACGTGGGGCACCCATTCTGGCTGGCATCTAAAGAAATTTAACCAAAAACAAACAAACAAAAAACAGCCATTTGTTGAAGACCCCTGTGTTGAGAAGCACCCTTATGCGTTGGTGCAATCAGTGCCCTAACCGTCCAATGGGTGCATCGAGATTACCGAGCATACCCTTACTTGGTTAAAAAGGGAATTCCCTTGAGGAAGCCGCTCATTTCAAGGCTTGGAAGACTACTTCCATGTCCTTTGTGGGAGGGTACTGAGTTTATACGTGTCCATGTCCAACAAAACAAGGGAAACACCACTTGTCCGTTCACAGTCACACCACTGCACTTGGCATGTTGTTTTCTCTCGCTGTTGCTTCTGTTCATTGCAAGGGGGCGAAGGATTCTTTCGTGCTGACATAGCACCAGGGGCTACATCGTTTCTCGTGGTTCACTCTTGAAGGAACCCGAAAGAGCAACTTGATGACAGCGCACTATGGGTTAGATCCATTTGGTGTGTTTCCTTTTGGCTTCCCTTGAAACCAACCCAAAGAGGTACCCTGAAAGACACACACAAACAAACCCCAGTTAGTAGCTGAGCCTTTCAGCACGCCCACCTGGGCAAGCGCAGACACTTCTGCAAACTGCCCGTCAGCCACAATTCTCTCCTTGTCTTCCGAACTGCTAAAGCTTGAAAGAATGGAATCCCCGAGTAAACTCGCTTCCTGAGTGGATTGGCCCGAAAAAGTCTGGCCTTTTTGTGTACCACTAGTTGTGTTTCCTAATGTCGGAAACGGAGCTGAGGGAGTGAAAGAAACGGAACTCAAGGAGTGAGTAACAAAGGACCTATTACATCATGCTGAGCTCGTGCTACCCCCAAGTGCAATCATCATGAATCAATGAACCTCGAAACCTGCCCAGGGCTCTGCGATTGAAAAGAAGTTACATGGCCGAAAGGTCACAAGGCATTTACAGCCCTGTAGGTTGCTGGCCTTTGCTTTTCTGAATTTGTTAAAGCAATAAACATAAAACATAAAAAAAGAGCATGCCAACCGTCCGAGGCCGCCGCCGGCGTCGTTGAACTGCTCGCCGTGCTCAGCGTGCCTGGACAGAGGGATACACCAAAAAGCCACCAGACAAAGCACCCCAGCCGCAACCTGAGGAAGTCTCAACCAAAGAAGAAAAAAACATGTCCGCTCTGAGGGACTTTAAGGGTGTGAATAAACTTAACTCCATAACAAGGCCATAAGTGAGGCCAATTAAGTTTGGGGGCTGGTAGGGTCCCTTTGCAAAAAAAGGCCCAGGACTTCGAATTGACAAGCCACAAAACAAGATCCCTATGATACATGTAGGTCTAACAAACCTTCATGAGTGGTAAAGAACGAAACCTGACGTCATTGAAATTTGCCCAGGTTGTGGGAAATGGCAGTTCCTTCATAGTTCCTTCTACTGGAACCGTGTTGGTCCTTTGGCTTCCATTCAAAAACACGCCAAGGAGGGAAGCCTCAACAAAGACACCCGCAGGCAGGCAGTGTGTTGATGCATCTTGGTCAACATTCGGTCAACATTCAACCCTAAACCGCGGATTTGTCCATCGTGCGTCTGTTCATCATTTATGCCTTTTGTTAGGGTCACCCCCCCCTCCCCTCGCCCCAAAATAACGTTTTCCCTGTTGCTTTCCTTTGAAAGCCGCAAAAAGGGGCAGCAAAATGGACCGCCCATGGTCAAGTTGGAGATTTACGACTCGTCGCTCCGATGGCTCCAAGCCCCTGGCGCTCAGCAGTCCTAACGAGACGTCAGACGGGTTCGGGCGCAATGGTTGTGGGAATGCACGTGGCAGGCGCGTGGACAGGGGGGAGGGGATGGAGGGATGGAGGGATGGAGGGATGGAGGGATGGAGGGATGGAGGGATGGAGGGATGGAGGGATGGAGGGGGGGTGGGTGGTGGGGTGAGGGGGTGGAGGGTGAAAAAATTGCAATATTGTAATTCGAATCAGAAGGGCGGGCCCACTTGATCGCTTTGAACGCACCTTCCCACTAATTGAATGGAGGTTAGGGGCTGAACGAGGGGTTGAAACCCCCAAGCCACCAATCCAACTAAGGTAACGTGACAAAAGGCAGAGAGGCAAGAGAACAACAATGAATTTGTGGATCCCCCAGGTGTTGACTTACACAGGGCCCCCTTTTTTAAACAACAAGCTCAACCACATCCTAGCTAGCCGCTAAGCCACATACCCTAGCACAAATCAGCTCCAACCCGAAACCCACCTAACAGCCACCCAACAGCTGTGTCGAAGGCCTTCGGTCTTCTATGGATTTGGCGTGATCGGGCCCGGTGCTGGTGTAGCTGGTCTGGTCCACAGTGAGGCAAGGGCACAAAGCTTGGTGGCGGGCGCACGGCCGCCAGGCCCAGTCGAGACCCGCTCAGTGACTGCGTCTGTCACATAGCTGCCCCTAGCACCAAAGGCAACTGCCGTCATGCTAATGACCAGGTCCATCTTGGCAATTTGGCCATGGGCAGGGCTGGAGCACACGGTGATGATCATGATCCGGTCGAAGCTCTGCAAAAAAGGCCAAAGCCAAGCCAACCCAACCAACCAGCCAGAAGCCAGCTCTTCCGTCCAATTCAAACATGGTCCAGGGAGCTCCAGTATGTCAAGGCTGTCAGCATTTTGGCTGTATGGCCCTCAGTCAGCAATGCTGGCTTGGCATCAGCGTAGTAGAGGAAAACACACTTGGGTACAGGAGCGTTCCCTACATGTCCTCTTTCAAAAAGCACAACTTACCAGAGGGACCTATTCACATCACCCTTACCAAGAATAACTTATCTTAATTTGGCCCCATTAATTTACACCATCACACTCACTGGCCTAAGTGATGTTAAAGGGAAACATATACTAGAGATGGACAAAATCCTGCACCAGTTGGTATTGGTGGTTAATCCCATTAACTTATACAGCTTCAACTATGCCAAGCGGTGGAGAAGTTCGTCCACCCAGAGAAGGGACCCTTGTGCAAACAAGGAACAACATGTGACATGTGCTGCCAGTGGCCGCCACCCTCACCGCTTGCGCGTTTCTTCTGGGGGCTGGTTGGGCCCAACGGGTCGGAAACACTTAGGGTTCCGGTCATCACCCAAAAGGAAACTCCCGAAAGTTGGCCCAGCTCGTCATGTGTAAAATGACCAAAGTGGAAAAGGAACTTGAAAGCGGTCAGCTTTCCTCGAAAAGGGTGCTTTGGATTGGTTGCAGGGGTAGTTTCCCTTTGACCCTCAGAACCAGGTCTTCAACGCCCTAAGCTGCCAATCCAAACCTCGAGTTGCTTTCTTCCCCTGGCATATGCCCCGTAAGGATAGCCAACAACAAGGGCTAAACAAGAGTAAATCAGGGGGAATAGAGCCCCAAGAAAAGCTCTGGCATACCTCTTTGGAGTTACATCTGGGAAGTCTTTGAAAGCAAATGGGAGGTTCCCTACTCCAGATGCACGCATGTTTAAGGGTTTAGTCAAGGTTTGACTGAAGCAAGTGGGCATTGGGTGTAGAAGGTTACCTGCCAGGTCGGGGGCTTGGAATGGGCGAATTCACCCTTGCAAACTTTAGGCCCCCGGCAGGTCGGTAGGTGAGGAGGCAAGCCTGGACGGAGATGGCCGAATTGAATGTCAGGGTCCCTCAAGTTCTGCGATCGGGATTTCCACCTGGTTATGTCTTTTGCTTGAGGCTTGGTAGCCCGTTTTGGTGGTTTTAAAGGGAAACCAACAGGAAAGCCGAAGCCATTTTGGGGGTTCCCCTGAAAAAGAAACACCCACAATGGGGGTTAAGAATATGCCCACCGATTGTTTTCCTAAGGAGTATCATCCAAGTCGAGCATTCTTTCAATGCGGGTTGAACCCTAGAGCGATGCTGGACCTCCGAAAGTGGCAGGCTCATTGGAGCCCAGCAGAAAACCTGCGAAAAGGACATGTCTAGTGAGTCATGAGTCATCAGAACCTGATACACACCAACAACCTATGGTAGTTGAAGGGCCGGAGATCTGAAAAGGGACCAATCGGGGGAAGGGGTGGAACCCTTTCTGAGGACTCCATGGCTGTTGCCGAGTTCTTCAGTGACCCTGGTAGAGAAAGGGCACCCTGTCTGGGGTTGCCCATGTTTAGTGGGGAAGCCATCAAACTCAATCAAAACGGGATTTAGAGGGTACTAGTAAATTACTAGTGCCCACCTCCCACCGAACGCACGCATCCATCGAAGCGAACCTTTCTTGACTTGCCGCCTTAAACCCAGGGGCTGCTTTCTGGGGGAGTCACCCACTGATTTTCTGCGTCTGTCTGTCAGTCAGTCGGCTGGAACCCTCTCCAACCCGCGCCTCCCCCAGAGCAGGTCCAAGGCCTCGGTGCAGAGCTCTGCCGCCTGGCGCTCTTGTCCGACGCCATGGATCCCGAAAATTTAGAGCGAGAAAGGCAAAGCTGGGTGGCAAAACTGAGTTGCTTAAAGCTTTTGGCAAGAAAGACCTGACAAGGTTGGTGCCTCTGATGCGGCAGGGGTCCCAAGAACACTATATGTCCCACGTAAACGTCACCCCGAAAAAGGGAAATCGCGGTCGATCCACGCCATCTACTTTTGAAAGATCTCTCCGGGGCGATTCGGTCACAAAGACCCTTTCATGAAAAGTCCGAACTTTTATTTATAACCCAACTGATCGTCCCAAAAGGCAAGTCCGGTACAACATGGAGTGAGGAAACACGTACGTTCTTGCAGCATGCTGTCTGACAAATACTAGTGTTCCTGATCTTAAACAAAAAAACAAAGCGAGCGCTGGACTGATCCGAACACCCGACAAATATTTGCAGGCTGTTGGAGGGGTTGGTCCTGCAAAGAGCTTTTCTGGGTGTATAATGGTATATGAGCTATGCAATAATTTTGCGCTCCAACTCTCACACTCCAACTTTGTAACTGGGTTTGTCTCAAGTCGAAGGTGAAACAAGTGAACGGTTGCCCCTTGGCTGCCTTTTGGCTTGCTCTTGCAACCAAAAAGGCCCTACTAAAACTGAACAGAAACAAAACACCTAAACATCTGCACTGAAGAAACTTGGCTGTCCAACCGAACTAACAAGTTGTTGGTAATCTAGGTTAACCCACTCATAAGGCGCCTTCAAGAAAACACACGCCTAAGAAGAAAACAATCAAAGTGTTCCCCAAGAAACCTGGACTGTCCAAACTGATCTGAAAGTTTACCTTTTAGTGGGTTGGACTGAAGCCCAACCCAAAAAAACACAAACAAAAACAGCGGAACCGGGCGGCTGGGAACCACAAGAAACGGGACACGTGTCTGCCTTTTCGACGCCCCGAGAGATGCGTTCGGAACGTCTCACGCCTGCCGCAGTCGCTCGGAGTCCGCGGCATTCTTGGCGCTGGCGAGAAGCTGCTCGGGGCTGCGCCTCGAGGCCGCGGGAAAAAACACACACGAGACGGCGTCCACTTTAGAAATTTTAGAACACGAAACCTGGGTGTTCCTTTTCGACCCTCAAAAGCACCGGGGAAGTAAAGTCCAGGAACTCAGGCTTCAACCCACCTTTAAACGATCACAACAACACAAAACATGGCATTTGGACCCACCCAACATGGTGGGTGTTCCATTTGGTTTCCCTTGACCAGCAAAAAATGGGGTACCAACTCCAAAAGAGACAATCTTTAAACACAAAACAAAAGAGGGTATTTGCATGCAAATGGCAGTCAACATGCACGCACGCTGCGCGATGCAAAATACCTTCAAGACTGCCTTATTCTCAACTTCACATGCAACAGCCACACGCCACACAACAAACATCAACAAACGTCGCTACAAAGCTTCACCACCTCATGCAGCCATGGAGTTTGCTCCGATCCCAGCCGTGGCTTCGCATGGGAGTGGCGCCGGGGGCGTGCAGTACAAACTGACCAAGCTGCTGGAAGCACTGCTTCTAGCAAGGCTGTTCCCGGATTGCATTGAGTGGGGGTCACCCGGCTGGGCAGGGACAGGGTGTAGAGGCTGTAAAAGCTGATGTTATTTCTGAACCCCGCGACTGAAATCACCCTACGGCATGATGCATGCAGCGCGAGAGTCGCTGCACACGAATCAATATTTTTCCCTTGAGCCAAAAGGTTAACCCTTTTGTTTGTGGCTTTTTGGGGCAACTGAGCAATCGGGGACGATGCTTTGTTTTTTCCCGACCGCTACATAAAGCACCCAGCTCTCCTTCGGTCCCCTTCGGACCTGGTTGCAAAAAGTCTGTATCTTAGAAGTGCTGGTTTCCTTTGAAACGATCGCCGATTTTGGAGTTACCCCAAGAAGGGAAATGCCTCGGAAACCCTGGACGGGGGGACGGTGGGAACCCCATTCTTACCACTAAACTGGTCCCGCCCCAAAACGAATAAAGTCCTGGAGCTCGGAAAGTGAGACTAGCCCAAAAAAAGGGGCTGACAAATGTGCCGTTTGTTGACAAACCGCTGAAGGAGTTTTGCAAACATGAGGGTGGTTCTGCCATGCTCATCGCTGTTTTAATTGCAGAATCAACAACTGCATCACCTTTTCGCCATCCACGTTGCTGTCGCCACTCTGGGGCCCTTTGCATGTCGTCCTCCGCGCTGCTGGCGTTCTCCTCGTGGCCTAACGCGCTGGAGCTAGCGCGGGGAAGGAGTCATCGGCTCAGCAGGCGGAGAAGCGCCAGGGTGTGCCAGTTGTTTGGGGGAAACCTTTTGGTTGGGACCAATTGCTTTGATTTTGGTTGGGTTGGGTTGGGTTGGGTTGGTGGGTTGGTTGGCTGATTGGTTGGTTGGTGGGCTGGCTGGCTGGCTGGTTGGCTGATTGCTTGCTTGGTGCCGTTTTCCCCGACAGCTGCAAGCTATGGATTTGGTTTCTGTTTAGATTTAGATAGGCTCTGGGGGTTGGGGCAGCTTTTCAGCTTATTTGGGGAACATCTTTGGTCGGTGACCGATTCCTTTTGAAAAACGGCCGATGTGGCACATGTGCATGCCAAAAGGGGTGTGTCTCTCCTTGTTGGGATGCCCTGATTTTGGGTCAAAGGGAAAGCAGAAGGAAGCCAACCATTTTATGGGCCCAATTTTGGCACATACCCATTGGCCGTTTCGAACACATCCAACTGCTCGAAGTAGGGGCTACCGGTCGATGCAACTTGCTGTTCGATCGAGGTGCTGCAACCCACATGTCACATGTCGAACCCAAATGGTATTTTTTTGTTCACATCTCGTGAAAGCAAAGAAAATGGGGAGCAGGGCTCGGGACCTTCCAGGGATCCAGCTACGGATTTCCAAAACCCGCTGTCTTTGGGGCAACCGTTGGAGCTCCAAAGCCCATAAGGTTGCTCCAAACACTGACATAAAAAAATCAACATAACCACCGGTCCTGGGACCAGTCCTGGGACCGGTCCAGGACCGGTCGTTGGACTGGCTGGGACCGGTCCTGGGATTGGCCAGGACCGCTTTCAGACTGTCCAGCCGGTCCCGGGATCGAGTCCTGGTGTGACCGCTGGCAGGGACCGGGACTTGGGACCCTGT